GGGATGGAAACAGTGGGGGACAGGGAGGGCAGGTTGGAGAGTGTTTCCCTCAGCCCCCACCTTTCGCGATAACCCCGCCCTCACCGTTATTCCTCGCCGAGGCCTCGCCCCTTGGGAGTACAGCAGTGTAGCTAGCTCCTTCTTTGAGGATCCCTGCTGCGCCCCGCACTCAGCCGGCATTTCTCAGTGCCCCTCTGCAGGGCCCGCGGCCCGCAGTGGTCTCTTCCGAAGACCCTCTCCCTTCTCGGGCAGGGCGCGAGGCCCACGCACCGTGGACCCGCCCCTTCGTGACGCACGGCCTGGTCCGCGCCTTCGGCGTCCCCAACCTCTTCATAGGCCCTAGGGCCACGCCCCCTGGCGAAGGCTCCCTGCTCGCCCCACCCTCTTCGAACCCCGCTAGGCACCCCGCCCCTCCCGCTCCGAGCCCCAAGCGTAGACCCTCGCCTCTGGAAATCTGAAAACCAGGCTCGGTCCGCGACTCTTTCCGCTCGGCTCAGGACCCGTGGCGCAAATTGGTGGGAAATAGGGGGCCCTCTCTGGGTCCAGAGCAAATGGGGGTTAGGGGGCTGCTCACTCGAGACAGTATCGGGCTCTAGGACCCAGCGGGCGAATACGCCCGCCTGGCACTTACCCCTCCCCCAAGTCGCCCCCTCCCCCCCCATCTTCCAGGTTCCCTTCCCTCCCCCCTCGCCCCGGCTCCCGGTGCCCGTCTCTAGCGCCGCCGGAGCCAGCGAGGGAGCCGGAGCGAACAGGAGGAGGAGGAGGAGGCCACGTCGCCGCCGCTCGGAGCCCGGCCGGAGCCTCCCAGGCAGGTGGCGAGGGGCGCGAAGGGACTTGGGCTCACCGACCTCCTGTCCCGGCGAGGGGGCGGCCGGGACCGCGCTTCGCCGCCTGCCCTCCAGGACGCCTCCCAGGCCCAGCTGGCAGGACCAGGAGGTGGAGGACCCTAAACTGCGCGGCAGCCATTTGGGATACCCGTCTCCATTTGGGGGCCTGGGCTTCCTCGGAGGACGCCCCATTCATAAAATTCCGTAGTGGACCCTCAGCAGTGTGGCAGTCGGGACCACTTCTCCCGGGAAGCGTGTGTGGGGACGTAGAGCCCCCCAAAACCCCAGCGTCCCTTCGCAGCTAGGCCCTCGGGAGGACCCTTGCCCTCTTCTGGGCTTCACCTGTTGTCGGGGGAGGCGGGCGGACAAAGGAAGCGGTGTCACGTGACTGCTCATTCACAAAATCCCATCCCATTGAGAAAAGGGGCTGGGGGCGCTGCGGCCGCCCCTTCCCATCCCGAAGGGCGGGGGAAACCCGGCGCCTGTCACTGGGGGAAGGGGTTGGAGCGCGTGCCCGGGTCTCCACGCCTGGGACAGCAGGGTCCCGGCACCGGATGGGAGTGAGGCAGTGAGAGACTGGACTCGGATCTCGATACTGGGCGGAGGGCTCCGTGCCCGAGCTGGGGGGCGGGGAAGATGGTTCAGAGGGATGCTGGGGCGGGGAGGGGGAGGAGGAGAATCCGTTCCCGCCCCCCACCCCGTACCTCTCCCCTTAGCCTTCCCGCGGCCGGGGCCTGAGGGAGCGGGCTTGATTTTTGTGAATGAAATGCTCTCTGGATGTGTCTCAGTCGCGGGTTCCTGGCTTCCTCTGCCTACATCTCCCTTTCGGCCTCTCTCTGGCCGTTTCTGGTTCTCTCCTTGCTCCCTGCCCATCTCCCGTTGCTGGGTGACTCAGTGAGCTTTGCATCCGGTCTCATTCATAAATCCGGGAAGGGGTGGGGGGGTGCAGAGTCTGGGGGGGTGCAGAGCCTGGTTTCTCACCCAGCCGGTGGCCTGGGTGGCAGGGTGCGGGGGCAGAGTGGGGGGACCGGAGCAGTGTTGATGGGCTCTCAGAAAATACATATGCGCAGGCACCCAGCTGTGAGGGGGAAGGATGGGTGGGGCTGTGGGTTTGTGCTGAAGGAGGAGAAGGAGACGGGGTGGATGGGGGATGAGCAGGAGGGGGAAGGGAGCTGTAAAACCGAGGCTCTGGGGGTGGGGATGGAAACAGTGGGGGACAGGGAAGGCAGGTGGGCTTGGGGAGAAAAGGTAGAGATGGAGAAGAAGGTAGGCGTGAGAGAAGAGGGATGGCATGAAGAAGAAAGAAGCCACACTGGGGGAAGGTGGGCATGGGGGAGAAACTCGCCTTGGGGACGTTGGGCTGGGGGAGAAGGTGGTTATGGAAGGTGAGGTGTCTGTGGTTGAGGGTCTGCTGGCCTCAGATGTTTGCGATCAATAGGGGAGATGAGGGTTGAAGGGATTCTGAGGGAGAGCTCAGGGATGGGCACTCACTGACCATGTTGATCCTGTCCCCCCACCTCCTGCAGGTACATGGTTCGGGTCCGAGCTGTGGTGATGGCCCGAGATGACTCCAGTGGGGGCTGGCTGCCTGTGGGGGGCGGGGGCCTCAGCCAGGTGAGCGTATGTCGGGTCCGAGGGGCCAGGCCCGAGGGGGGGACCCGCCAGGGGCACTACGTCATCCACGGGGAGCGCCTCCGGGACCAGAAAGTGAGCCACCCTGGGGCGTGGGGGTAGGGAGGGTGCCTGGGAAATAGGGGGATGGGGCTGGGAGCACAGAGGTGAGGTCTGGTTATCTCCCAGCCCTGGAAGCAAACCAGGGTGTGGGATGGAGCTTGAAGGTGAATTAATCTGCCCTAGGGATGAGAGTGGGGATACTGGGTGCTTAAGCAGTCCTTCCTGTCACCAACTGGGGGTCACTGCAGCCACCTTGCTGGTCTCCTTGCCCTACTCCTGCTCCCTCCTGCACCCCAATTTGCCCCACCAGGGCACCCTGCTCACAGCTGACTCAGATCACCTCCAAGCTGCTCCATCTCACCAGAGATCCTCACCTCACCTGGCCCAGGCCTGCCCCAAGTATTTGGAGGTGTTTGGTGGGAACTCTTCTGCAGTGTCAGCTGTAAATGGGCCCAGTGGGGATATGCCCGGCTACCTGGTGTGACTTGGGGGGACACTGTCAAGCTTCAGCTGGGAGGTGGTAGAAAGATGTGCATTGTTACTAAAGGCTTGGGGTGGGGTTGTGGGCTAATGGGAAGGAACTTAGGGTGGGGGTGGTGACAGGGAAAGCTTGTGAAGGAATCTTCACTGATGTGACACTGGGTATAGATGTGAGGGGACAGCTGAGGTGGTGACCAGCACTCTGAGTGGAAATCTGTGGCGGTTTGATAGTCATTTTGGGGGCTGCATTTAGGGAGGTTACTGGGCCATCCGAAGGGGATCACTAGTGATGCTTTGAGAAGGTCCATAAAGTTTGGGGTGGACTGTAAATTTGGTGAGTCACACGGGGAGATGCTGGGTCATCACTCATTTTTGGAAGCATTGGGTAAGATCGGGGACTCCTATTGGGCTCTCAGAGTCGTGCTGGATACAATCGAGGTGTGGTTCAGGGATTCACCGGAGACAGACGGGAGGTTGGGGAAGCTGGGGTGTACAGAGAGGCCAGGGTTGAGGGCACATCACAGGCTGAATGCGGGGATTTGACTTGGCCCCTGCCTGCCCCTCCCCAGACTACGCTGGAGTGTACCCTGCGGCCAGGCTTGGTTTACAACAAGGTGAACCCCATCTTCCACCACTGGAGCCTGGGCGATTGCAAGTTTGGGCTGACGTTTCAGAGTCCCGCAGAGGCTGATGAGTTCCAGAAGAGCCTGCTGGCTGCTCTGGCCGCCCTGGGTCGAGGTGAATGGCAGGGAGCCTTGGGGGCCGAGGTGGAGGGGTGGGGTCCCCTGGCCCAGGCAACTCACTGTCTGCCTCTCTCCTTGCCTCAGGCTCACTCACCCCCTCCTCCTGCTCCTCCTCCTCCTCCTCTTCCCCTTCCCAGGACACTGCAGAGACCCCCTGCCCTCTGACGGTGAGTCCCCAGGGGCAGATCTGCTGGGGGGGGAGCGTGATTGTATTCTGCAAACATGTTGAGCCCTGCTGTGTGTTAGGCCCTATGCCACATGCTCGGCACGCGTTGGGCACAAACTATTCAGGTCAAGTCCATCTCGGTTACTGTCCATTTTTTTCTGCTCTGTTGTGATTCACACGTTTGTTCAAGAATATGGAGTACCTTTAGGCACTGGCGATGCATCAGCAGCAAAACAAAGGCTCTTTCCTCATGGAGCTTCCATTCTGGTGTGGAAAGGCAGAACAGGATTTTTAAAAAGAAAATAAGATGAATAAATGTCAAAGTAAGTGAACGAACAAATGCATGTCAGGTCCACCCTGTGCCAGCGGCATTCTCACTTCTTAAAATCTTTTTTGAAATATTATTTATTTTTGTATGAAAGAGCTGAGGTATAGGACAGAGGTGTGGGGGGAGTGAGAGGATTCACCAGAGACAGAGTGGGGAGCAGGGTAGGGAGATGGACTGAGACAGGAAAGCTGTGCCATAGGTGTGTCGGCAACCTGGCTGGGGACCGAACTTGGACCTTGGGGGTAAAAGAGCTGTGACGTTAGGGCACTAGGGAGGTTCTTTTGTCTGTTTTGAACGCCCCTTATCTAATCTGTCATCAACCGTTGGCTCTACTTTCAACCAGTAATTAGAATCTGTCCTCAGCCTGGTACCGTGCCACCCCATTTTCCAGTTGAGCCATCTTGATAACTTGTGGTCACTTCCTCTCCTTGCCCCCGATGTCTAGACAGAGGGACCTTGTAGTCCTCTACGTCAGAGGATTTCCCATTCCGCCCGTCCCTGGGCTCCTCGCCCAGGGTGGAGGACAGTTCCTTCTGGAAGGTCCCACACTTCTGGCCCCCTCACACACCATCTTGCTCCCCCTCTCTGGCCACATTGGCCCTCTCACTGGCCCTGTCACACAGCACTCGTGGTGTGTGACACCCAGCCCCAACTGTAGCCTGTGTACAATCCCCATCTTCGGGACCCTTTATTGTGTTGTGAGTTTGGGGTCTCATCTGCAATATTGATATTTCCTTTCTAAATAGACAGTTTTCTTGTCTATTGCTTCACTGTCCATCTCAAAGTCTAGAATGCCAGCTCCAGGGGGCATGCATATTTTGCTGTTTTCTTGCTGCCTTCCCAGTGTCTAAAACAATGCCTGGTATACAGTAAGTGTGCAAGAAATATGTGTTGAATAAATGCAATGGGTGAATAAATGTACACAATGTCTATTCTAATGTGGCCCTTGCTCTGGGAACAGTGGGAGTTGCTAAGAACACTTGGAGGAACAAAACTGGTTCCCCAGGCAGAAAGGGGGTGTCCCAGGGTAATGGAGATGCTGGCAAGTCTCCCCCAGTTTGGGTGCCAACTCAGGAAAGACAGTTTTCTATGTTCCTCCTCACACCCTTGCAGTGGCCCTCGTGCCTGGCACTCCTGGGTGCTCAGTGAATGTTGACTGAAGTGAGTCAAGGGACAAGGAAGGAGTGACCCCATTAGGAAAGGATTCTTACTTGGTTGGAGGGGAAGCCAGGCCTTCCAGTGGGTGAGATGGGCCAACAAAGCTGAGGTGGTGGGAATGAGGCAGTACAGCAGCTGACTGGCCAGGGGAGAGCGGTCTGAGGAGGGGCGTGGGTGATTTGGTGTTCTGTAGGTTGGTGACCTGAAATAAGGACAGGGCCAAGTAGTCAGAAAAACCAGTTCCAGCTCTTCCTGTATCCAGGCACCCCTTTCCAGTGGGTCCTAACCACATCCTTATGAGTAGATATTGTTATGATCCCCATTTTACAGAAGAGGAAACTGAGGTTCAGACAGATCTCACTTGCCGGAGGTCACACAACCAGTCAGTCGCAGAACCCGGGCTTGAACCCAGGTCTGTCTGGCGGCAGAGCCCTCGCAATGGGAGGGGGTCTGTTGGAGGGCATCGGCTGTGCCGGTCTGGCTCTGAGGCCGCCAATCTCCCCCAGTCCCATGTGGACAGCGACTCCTCCTCCAGCCACAGCCGCCAGGAGACGCCTCCCACCGCCTCAGCAGTAGCCCCCATCATCACCGTGGAGTCTGCGGCTGGCTTCGGGCAGGCCACACCCCCCCAGCGCAGGTCCTCTGCCCAGGTAAGATCTCCTGACCCCCTGCGGAAGTCTGGGGCTCCAGGGGAAATGCTGCTGGAGCTGGGGTCCTGAAGTGGGGGTGGCGGAGAGGGGACTGAGGTTCCAGAGGGAAGAGAAACACAAATAGATCCTAGGGAATGGCTGCCCTCATTTATGGGCTGGGGAGAGGGGAGACGTGGCTCAGCTGTGACTGAGGTACCTCAGGCTTGGGTGAGGCCTCCCCTGTCTCTTACCTTGGAGATTTTGGAAAGTTCTGAATTCCTGAGGGCTTTAGTGGCCAACTTAGGCAATGAATTCTCCGGGTATATTTGGAGGTTGCTGGTTCTCACGGAGGCTGTCCTTTAGATGGCTTAATTCATGATGGCTTGGGGAGGGCTCCATCCAAGGGGGGGTAACAGGAAACTGAGACGGACTCTTGCATCCTGAGGAAGAGAGATTGGGGTCCAGAATCCCTGGATCTGAGAGCACAGTGGGGTTGCTGGATGTTGAGAGAAAACAGCACTGGGAGCCTTCAGGTGTGCGCCTGGTGCGGGGATCCTCCTGGCTCCCTGGACTTTGGCCTGAAGGAGAGGAGAGGGCTGGGGGATTGGAAGTCTGAATGTCAGTACTGGCTGGACCCAAACACTCAGACTCCCAGGATGAGTGAGGCCTGGGCCTTTGTACTCTTCCCTCATCTGAGGCTGGGATGGATTCTAACGCGGTGTGGGGGATCACGGATCCTGCTAACGTGTTCTCCCGTCCCTTCATCCCACAGAGCTACCCTCCGCTCCTGCCTTTCACGGGCATCCCTGAGGCCTCAGAGCCCCTGGCTGGGGCAGGGGGCCCGGGCTGGGGCGGCCGCGGCTATGAGGATTACCGGCGCACCGGGCCGCCCGCCCCCCTCGCTCTGTCCACCTGCGTGGTGCGCTTCGCCAAGGCTGGCACATTGAGGGGCGCAGCCCTGGGGCCGCCTGCGGCACTACCCACCCCTCTCGCAGAGGCTGCACCCCCAGCGCCCCCAGCTCGCCCACCCCCAGGCCCAGCCCCAGAGCTGGCCAAGGCCTCTCCCGAGGCGGAGGAGGCTGCCCGCTGCGTGCACTGCCGCGCGCTCTTCCGCCGCCGCGCTGACGGTCGCGGGGGCCGCTGCACCGAGGCCCCGGACCCGGGTCGCCTGCTGGTGCGCCGGCTCAGCTGCCTGTGGTGCGCAGAGAGCTTGCTCTACCACTGCCTGTCGGACGCCGAGGGCGACTTCTCGGACCCTTGCGCCTGTGAGCCTGGCCACCCACGACCCGCCGCGCGCTGGGCAGCGCTGGCTGCCCTCTCCCTGGCCGTGCCCTGCCTCTGCTGCTATGCGCCCCTGCGAGCATGCCACTGGGTCGCAGCTCGCTGCGGTTGTGCCGGCTGTGGGGGTCGCCATGAGGAGGCCGCACGGTGAGGACCGCCTGGCGGATCCTGTAGCCAGTCGGAGGACCCAAGATGGAGGGTCCAGGACCCCTGACTTCATTCGGACCCCAAACCCAAACCTAGGCACACTGGAACTTGGAGCTTGAGTTTGGATTAAGAGACCCCAGATCTGGACCCTGGACCCCAAATCTAGGTCTGACAGACCCTAGACAAGCTTCACTGGGTGCCTGTCCAAGAGGTCCCAGCATCCTGAGTTCTGGCAACGTCCCCTGCCTTCCCCCACTGCTCTCCACCATGATCTAGACTGAGAGACTGCCGGGGTCCCCAGACTCTGCCTGAAGCAGGCCAGGGAACCTTTGATGTCTGAGACCCAGCGCAGTGAGTCCTGACCCCCTGTTTAGGTGACTTTCTTAGACCTGGTCATATCTGGCACCACAACCCTTCAGATTTCAGCCCCAGAATTAGAACTTGCCAATACCTGACTCAATCTGTAAACAAGAGACCACAGGTCCCAGAATCACCCCCAGTTGGCCCGAGTGCTCATCTAAACCTGGGGAACCCATCTCTCACGTGTTCTCCAGAGACATCACACACTCTCAAAATGCCCCAGGTCCTGTCTGCTCAAGCAGGTGTTCCTTGACCAAATGATGGGAGACCCAGCTCAGCCCCTGCCCCAGCCAGATGTCAGACCCCAAGATCTGAGAACTAGGGATCAAACGCTGCTGTAGGCTCACTTGCCACGAGCCAGTGTGCCCAGGAGCTTTGGATCTCACATATAGGACTCTGAGGTGCCTAGTGTCTCCAGATGCTGGACTGGAGGCCTGTACAGGGCTCCAAACACTGGCCACAAGTCCTCTTCCGGTCCCCTTTGGACTTGAATTTCAAGTCCCAGAGCATTCTGAAATCTTTGGCTTCTTTGTATCAACCAGTCCCCAATCCTGGGCCCAGATGATGACTGCTCCTCGTAACTCAGACCTCCGACTCCTTGCTTCCGGGCCCCTCAGTGACCCCAAGGTGCGTCAGGAGCACTGGATCCAAGACCCCAATGTGCCCTGTTGCCCAAAATTCAGGGCTCAGGCCTACATGATACTGGGATTCCCATGATCCAAGACCTTGGTCCCTCTATGCCAAGAAACAGATTTGAGATATCCCAGGACCCCCAGCACCTTCAGATCCCAGATTTCCTAAGACTTGAACCTCTCTAGTCTGATAGTCCTCAGGCCCAACTTGTGTATCCCCTGAGACCTGCTGCTCCTGGATCCTGCCAATCACAAAGACCCCAGAGTCATAGGCTGAAAAGGTGGTTCCAAGGGCCAGCATTTTGCAGAACTACACCTTTCCCCAAGCAGGAGGAGAGTCCCTTTGGGGCTCATATGAGTTCCTGGATCCCAGGGCCATCAGCGAGTTCTTCCATCCAGGTCTTGTAACCCAGGGTTGTGGCGGGCAGCTGGGCGGGCTGGTCACTAGGCGAGCACTCAGCTGAAGTGGGTGCAGCTGCAACTCCCCCCCACCCTGCTGGCCACAATGTGCCCTCAGAGGAATGTGTGTTTGTGAGGTGTCTGTGGGGGTTCACTGGGTCTGCTGGTGCGCCGATCCACAGAGCAACCCCCAGCCTTGCAGAGTCTGTTAGCCCTTCTCTTCCAGCTCAGAGTTGAGGTTTACTTGGGGAAGTTTGAGACCCTTCTGAGGAAGGGAGGTGGCACGATCTCTTCATCTCAGGTGGAATGGGGCTCCCAGGGTATCTCATATCTGATGGCCTAATCCGGGAAGGGGCAGGGAGGATTCGAGGTCTTGGAGCAAGACACTCCCAGTGTTACAGAGGCTTGGGACCTACATCTAGTCTCCAGCACCTGGAAATGTGCACTTAACTACCCTGCTTTGGATGGCCCTGTGGGGTTGAATGGCTAGATTGGGGGGGCCAGAGGAATAGATTATTTTGTCACTTCTTTTAAATTATTAACTATTTATTACATCCGGAACCTGTGAGATTCAGCTCCCCCAAACAGACCCGGGGGTGGGTAGAGATGGGGGTGTCCCTCCCATCCCCACTCTGCCCGTCTCATCACTGTCAGACCCACCAGAGCTGAGGGTGGAGGGACTGGGGGCTGGGGTAGCCTGGGTCCCCACCCCCCTCTCTGTGCCTCTGTCTCCTCCCTTCCGTGGTGGGCGGGGGAGGGGGGAAGCTCCATTCTTAACCTACCTCGTTTTGGGGAGGGGTGGGATGGGGGACCAGAGTGCTGTTAGGTGCTGTGGGATCTGCGGATGAAGTGGTGGGGGCTTGGGGAAGGTTCCCTGGCCCCCACCTCCCAGCACCACCTCTCCCAGGTCCCCCAGTCCTGCTCCCAGCTGATACCCACCTCAGATCCATGATTACTCTTCATCACCCCAAAATCAGGGGTGCATGGAGGGCTGACCCTGGGAGCCAGGAAGACCTCAGACCCTGGTGTTCCCAGGCCCAATTTTCCACTGCTTGCCCCTCAGATCAGATGCTTGGCCCCATACTTGGGGGAGGCACCCTGACACTTCCTGATCTTGATACCAAGCCAGTCTGTGACCTCAACATTGTTATTGTCAGTACTGGCTGAAATGATGGGGGCCAAAGACCCAGCCCTTGTCATCCTGGGGAGGGGGCATGAGAGATCCACTCCAAGAAATGTCTGTGACAAAGTCTCAGTCTGTGTCCTTTGTTTGCTTTGATGCGCTCCCTCTATTCACCTTCCTGAACCCCTAATCTGATCTACCTGAGTTATCCATCACACTGTTTAGTCCCAAGCAGATCTCTAGCTGAGTTTTATACAGTCATTCAACAAGCACATGTATTCAACACCCATTATATGCCAAGCCCGGTACTGGGCTCTTTGAGAAGGCGGCGATCAGAACAAAAATCTTTCCCCACTAAGAACTTTCTAGTGGAGGAGACACTAAATAAATGACAGGTCAGAAATGATATCTACTATGAGGAAAAGAAGAGGAGCTGGGAGAGACTGTCACTTGTAGCCAGAGTGGCTTCATTAGGTGCCACCGGTGGGGTCCCACCGATGTTTGTGGGAGGAGCATTCTGGGCAGAGGGAAGAAGTTTGTGCAAGACTCAGAGAGGAGCATGCCGGTAAGTTGGAATGACTTCACGGGAGAGTCTGGAGGGGAGAAAACAGAGGAGGATGAGGCAGAGAGGTGACCAGGCGGATCCATAGAGTCTTGCAGGTTGTTGCATGGTGTTGGTGTCTCCCTGAGCGAGATGGGGCTACAGGAAGGCTCCAAATACCTCGGCCAACTCACATGTGCACAGGTTGTTTTCTAGCTGTCTGTAGGGATGGAGAGGAGAGGACACTGCACAGGACCAGGATGGCAGCAGTGGAGAGAGGGAGAAGTGGGTAGATACTGGACCAGTTTGAAGGTAAAGACCACAAATTTAGATTTGGGTTTCTCTATAAAGAATTAGTCACAGTTAAGACCTTCAGGTTTGGGCCTGAGCAATTTATTTATTTATTTAAAGATGTATTTACTTATGCATACAAGAACTGGGGTACAGGCCAGAGGTGTGGGGGCAGTGAGAGGATTCACCAAAGACAGAGTGGGAAGCAGAACAGGCACATCTTCTGAAGTACACTGCTGAGGGGAGCAGCAGGCCAGTGAAGAGGGGTCTGCTGTGCCTGTGGGGTCAGATCCCTGGCTGGGGATCAAATCTGTGCTGCAGCAGCTGTGGACAGCTTCATAGTGCTATACTTTAACCCAGTGTGCCACCAGGGAGGGCCCCTGGACAATTTAAAATGTTTATAAAGATCAACAAATGGCTGCATGAGCAGCCAGCTTGGGGTAGGCAAGACTGGAGGAATCGGATTAAGGGAAATGACCAGCTCTTGTTCTGGGAGGGTCCAACCCACCCCTGTTCCCAGCAGAAGGATCTGGGCCTTTCTGGAGTCAGGGACCGAAGTTGAAAAGAGATTAGATCTGGAACAATTTTATTTTTCTGTGTTCAGCCATTATTTCTTCCCTGTATGGAGAAAACACTGGCTTACACGACTGTGTAGAATTTAGGGAATAGGTTCACACCTCCTCTTGTGCATATTTGAAATGATTTATTACTGTAGCAGTATTAACAGTAATAAAGCGATAGGTTAAAAAGCACGCACTTTGGAACCACACCTGAAAGAATCCTAGCACTTTCACGTGCTATCTTAGCCTGGAGAAACCTCACTCTTTGTAAAACGGGGATGAGATACTTAACCCAGTAGCACACACAATTGTCCAATGTAAGCTGTTTTTCTTAGCCGTGTATCCCCTACGTAATACTAAACACACGCAGGACTCCAGCCCTCGCAAGCGGCTCTGACAGGTAGGTCATCATCGCCATTGCACAGGTGAGAAGCAGATCGGCGTGGACACAGCGGTGGTGAATGGTGGGGGCACACCTTACCCTAGTTTGCCTGACTCCTGGCAGTGCTTTCATCACGATGGTATGCTGCACCCGCTCCCTCTCCAGGCGTAGTGGGGGCAAGCGGTGAAACCCTGTGGCGTGCATTGTGATCAAGGAGAAAGCCTAGTGCTGGTCAGCGTGTGTGGCCGGGATTCCTAGCCCCCTGACGTGGTCCAACTCTAAATGGGAGAATGCCCGTTTCTCGTTTTGGGACGGAAAATGGAGAACAGCCTTGGTCTAGGGTGCTTTAGAGCACAGGGCACCTGAGGGAGGCTGAAGAAAAGGAAACCCGAGGTTGCGTCTAGGTTGCAACAGTATGCACACAAGTTGGCTGGTCGCGACCACCGGGAACCTAACCCCACTGGGCATTTCCAGAGTCCTGACGTACTCTCCCGGTGGGTGGCGCCTTAAGTCTCGGTGGGGCCGGCGGGGGGCGTGTTCGGCTTTCTCTGCACCAATTGGAAAGCCGAAGGCCCGCAGCGCGGAGCGGCTGATTGGAGCACTCAGCGCTTGGGGCGGGGCCTGTCACCCGCCTGCAGGGGGCGAGCGCCGGGCGTGAGGAGACGCTTCCATGGAGGGAGCGGGTGCGCGGGAGGAATCTTCTGTGGCCGGGGACCTGCTGGCTCTGGGGTAAAGGGAGCAGGGTGTGACCGGCGGGTACAGGAAGGGGCAGGTTCACCCTCCGACATCCTTACTGACCTTTCCCACCCCTTCCCGCCGCCTCGGCCGCCCCGCAGCTATGAGGGTTTCCCGGGGGCGGCGTCGCTGGGCACCTCGTGCCCAGACTTCAGGGAGCTGTGCGCGCGGTTGGCGGCGGAGCTGGCGACTCTGGGCGCCCTGAGGCAGGAGCGAGAGGAGGGTGCGGAGGCGCTGCGCGCCGGCGACGGTACGTGTGGAGCGGGAGGCCCGGAGGGGTGGAGCCGCCCGTGCTCCGCCGCGCCCTGAACTCCGCGCCCCGTGTAGGCCCCGGCGCCGAGGAGGAATTCCTGCGACAGTTGGCAGGCCTGCTGCGAGAGCTACACTGCCCCGACCGCGCGCTCTGCGGCGCCGACTGCGCGGCCGCGCTGCAGGAGCCGGGCGCGTGCCTGCGCCTGCTGCGTGAGCCCGGGGCGGGCCGCGGGCGCGGGAGTGGGCGGGGCTGCAGCCCCGAGGGGAGGTGTGAGCCTGGGTCCCTAAGGGGGCGTGGCCAGATAGCTCCAGGGTTGGGCCACGCCCCGAGGTGGGTGTGGTCAGGGTTGGGGCGGGCCCAGGCTCCGAGATGGGCGGGGTTAGAACTTTGCTAGAGGATCTTGGAGCTCAAGTGGGTTTAGGGGCACCCGGACTGGTAGTTTCGAAGTGGACAGGACTCGAATTCCGAGGAGCAATCTGAAACTATGCTGGAGGTTTCCTCGAGGTTCTAGATGGGTGAAACTACAGGGCGAGAGGCTTTCGAATACTTTTTGGAGGTGTTAGACCCCCGGCGGGTGGGGTGACAGCCCTCCTAGTTTGAGCCACTCCTGTTCTCTACTTTCAGGCTTTCTCTGTTCCGAGCTCCAGGCTGCCCGCCTCCTCCGCCGGCACCCCAAGCTCGATACCAGTCCTGCGCCGCCTAGTGGGGAAAGAGCTGAAGAGGAAGCTGGCATGGTCCAGGAACTGGTCCTTACACTCCAAGCCCTGGGGCTACCCAGACCCACTCCGGGGAACCCCGCCAGCGCCAGTGGGCTGCTGCGGGAATTGCATGCCAAGGTAGAAAGCTGATGCCCCATCCTCATCCTGGGGAGAACCCTCTTTCTACAAGCGACTCTGGGAGGCCTGTCCCAGCCACTGCTGTTTTCTGATTCCACGGTGTGGGTCCACACGGCATCCGTCCGGTTTCTGCCCGCTTAGTCTCAGGCTTTTCCATCTCCCCTCAGATCTCGGAGCTTCTACCTTTACTGCCCCCGGAGTCCTTGCAGCCTCTCCTCAGCCACCCGCTGGATGCACCCAGATGGGTAAGCTGTGTGTGACTGTACGCAGTTTTCTCATGCAGAGGTGGGAGCGAGGGGTTCCCCCGCCTGACTGAACCCCCCCCCCCCACAGGAGGCTTTGGAGTCTCTGTCTCAAAGCCTGCAATCTCAGTACTGCTGCCGCCGCTGCCTCCTCCTCACCCGCCTGGACCTCACAACATCTGCTTTCCACTGGAGTGATGGTTCAGAGGTGTGGGCACAGGACTTTGGAGGAAGCATGGAGGGGGCCAGGCTGGGGGGACAACAGCCGCAGGGAGGAGGAAGGAGGGCCAGGAGTTTACCACTTTGAAGGTTCTGAGACAGGACATTTTAGAACCTTGTAGAATTTGGTGTGCTAGGATCTCATGGTTCCCACAACATTCTGGAATCTAGGGGTCCCCCTGAGCTGGGCGTGTCTTCAGAGTGATACTCCTTGTTTAGGAGGTGCGGGAAGTGAGACCTGCTTGGGGAAGAGATGCTTCTGAGGTAACAGATCTCAGGGGAGGGCTCTTGGGCCCCTTCTCCATGTGCCACACCTTCCCAGGCCCAAGGAGAGGCCATGAAGGCAGTGCTGACCCCACTTCGAGAGGCTTTGACCCCAGAATCAGATGTCTCCATCGCACATGTCCTGGCAGCCCGAGCTGACCTATCTCGTCTTGTCCCAGCCACCAGCAAGGCTGCCCGTCAAGGGACCTGCTGTGCCATCAACAAGGTGGGCATCTGGGGTAGGGGCCCCCACATCCTTGGCTCTTCGAAGTGGCCTTTCAGCCTTTGCCCTGGCCCGGCCCTGTCTTCTGCCTGAGCTCCTGGTCTTTGGACTTGCCACCTCTCATCCACCATGTCCCCATGGCAGCCAGAAGGGCATTTCTCCCGCTGAAATCTGACACGCCTCCCCTAGCTCAGAACACTTCTGTGGCTCCCTAGTGCCTTCAGAACAAAGTGCAGTTGCTTACTAATCCCCTGCCCGCTTCTCCGACTTAGAGATAACATCATCTCCTACCTCCTCCACTTGTCTTTATATTTTTTAACCATATTAAAGCAGAAATAGCCTTTGTATAAGTGATTAGGTATTGGCTTCAGGCCTCTATTTAAATAACTAATACTTAGGTGTATGAGTCTTGGAAAATAATGTCTCGCTTAATAGAGTGAGGCAAAACTTAAGACAAAAAGTAATTTGTTTAAAGGAAAGCAAATAACATTATAGGTGATCGGTAAGTGATGGATACTTAAGGGACAGAAACCGCTGGGTTGCTAGACCGTCCCATACATGAAATAGACAAAAGTTGAAATGGCCTTGTTAGTTCTGGTGGTGACTTGGATCTCTGCTCCCCTGCCCCCTCTTGCTCAGGCCCCGAGAATCCATCTGTGTCTCCATGGCTCTGGCCCCCACTCCCCAGCACTCTACCCCAGTGGCTAACCACTGCCCTTCCTTTTTCAACCTCATGCTGTTCCCGTGGCTCTCTGGTCCCCTGTCCAAGATAACTTTCTTTTCTTGGAAACTTAAATCTAATCAACTCTCAGGTGCTTATGGGCAACGTGCCAGACCGGGGGGGCCGCCCAAATGAGCTGGAAGCCCCCATGCCCAGCTGGCGGAGCAGAAGAGAGGACGGAGGTGGGCGAAAAGCAGGCCGCCGGTGCTGGGGCCGCAAGAAGAAGTAAGGGACTGGCGGTTGCGGGCTGGCGGGGAGTCCTTGGTAAAGCTGACACCATTGCCAATCTCTGGGGAGTCGTTTGAGGGTTTCTCTTGGCACCTGGCCCCTAGGCCCCACACACCTTGTTCCTGAGGTCACAAATGTCCTCCCTTCATCTACTGAACACAAGGTTCTCTGAAAAATAAATGTAATATTTGACTGCCATAGGGCCTGTTTCTGCGGGGCCAAGTCCAGGGCACAGGGCCTGAGGCGAGGCAGGGACTCCGCTCTCAGGCGCATCTTTGCCTTCCTTGGTGCAAGGGCGGGAGGCAGGCAGCATAGGGTGGGCATCTGCCAGGGGCCTGTGCCACCCGTGTCCAGGGCGGGGGAGTGGAAGGCCTGGATCATTAAAGGCCCTCCTCTTGGAGCTGATACTCCCGGCGAGGGGCAGCAGGCATTAAATGAGGTAACTAGGGTAAAATGCAGTCCGTCAGGTGTGGGGCAAGGGCTTTGGAGAGAAGTCATCGGGAAGGCAGGATGGGCGGCGGGGAGGGAGGGAGGCCTCACTGGAAGGCGACGCTTGAGCTCAGTCCCAGAGAAAGAAGCATGAGGGCCTCTGGGGAAGAGCAGGCCTGGCCAGGGGCCTGCAGTGAAGAGGCCCTGAGGTAGGAGTGTTTTGGGCGTGTTCAGGGCTCACTGGCGTTGGAGCAGCTGAAGCAGGAAGAGTGAAGAGGAAAGGCTGGGAGGTGCGGGGGTGGGCTCCAGTGAGGCTTTCGCCCTGAGTGGGACAGAAGCACGGGGTGTTCTGGGCAGGGAGGGACGTGGCGCGACTCAGGTGGCCGTAGGCTCCCTGTTCCACCCCTTCTACAAGCTTCTCTGCAAACGTGGTCTGGACGTCTGCCCACTGCCTGTCAGTGTAGCATCTGGTCAAGAGCTTTTATTTAAGAGACAGACAGCAGTCTGGTCACCAGTGCTTGGAGTCTGCCACCGTGTGGGAGCAGCTTAACTCCCGAGCCTCAGTTTCCTCATCTGTAAAATGGGGATTTAAGGGGTCGGGGAGGTGATGTCTAAGCCTGCACAGGTCCTGAGGGGCGGGGAAAAGGAAGAAGATTAGGCGACACTCTGATGTCAAAGAAGAAAACGATTTTCTTTGGGGTAAGAGATGACGGACACGTCAGCGAAGGCAGTGTGGACGGGGAGGAGGTGAGGCCTTTGGGTGCTCCCTTGCAGGCTGAGTGACAGACCGCGGAACTGACTTCGGGCGAGGGGAGCGCTGGAGAGAAGGCCAAGGTGCTGTCTGGGAATTCTGTGCGGAGGACTGGGTGGCCGTCGGGGTTGTTGGCAGGGGGTCCTGGAAGAGGGGACAGTGGGCGCTGTGGGGCGTGTCATGCCCCGAGACCTTCACTCCGCGCTGGCCTCACCCAGGCTGCAGTACGTGCCTGGGTATCCCCTGTGCGCCCCCACCCCCAGCCTCTGCCTTGGCGTAGTGGCATCGGGCTCCTGTTCTCTTCAGCTGTTTTGCTTCTTTTTCCCTCCCTAAGTCCCTTTTCTCTCCTGCCGTGGTCACACTGGAGTGTCTGCTTTCATATCACCCTTGCACTGCAAGCAGCGTCACTGCCCCCCTGTGCCGGTCACTGGGGACTTCTGTGCATTTTTGCTTTTCTCTGCTACCAGCCATCTGTCTGGGTTCCCTAAGGCCAATGGCCTGCGCTCCCTGCACGCAGCTGGGACAGTTCCTCCTTACCGTCTCTGGCTCCCAGGGAGGGTGGGGGGGCTCCGTCTGGGTCCAGGCGTTGCGGAGGTGGCACCCAGGCTCAGCATCCGGGCATACTGTGAAGGCGAGATTGTCCCCGGTGCCTTTGTTGGGAGGAAGGGATGTGGGTATGATGAGAAGGTCTCAGGACCCCAGGATTAGCCCCCAGACCCTCCGCCAAGGACAGCTGCACCTGGGGCCTTACCATGGTTGGCATGAGGACCTGGTGTGGGTGGAGGGATGGGGGCTCCCGGGGGGCTCCCATCGCTCTTGGTCCCTGGCCTCTTACACTCCATCTTCACCTGGTCTCTGCAATGCTTGTGGCAGCACAGCCCGCAATCTGGGGGGAGGTCAGCAGTTAGTGACCAGAGACCCAGGCTATACCCCTATTCTTGCAGCCTGCAGGTCCTGGACCCCCCTCTCACCTCGACAACGGTAGCCTTGCTTGGTGACACCCCAGAGCTGGAAAGAGAAAGCTGAACAGGTTACTGGAGAGGGATGGCTGGGGCCGGGGGGAGTGCCGGCGTGGGAAATTATCAAGCCTAGGGCGGGGTCTGGCGATGAAGAAATGTGGAGGTTTTCTCAAGACTGAGATCAAGTCTGAGCAAGGGCCTGGCGCTGCGACCTGGGCAAAGATCGGAATGAACCAAGTGTGACTTCTGTGGGCAGGGTTGTGTGGGTGGCAGTCCCTGCTGTGCCCCGACTGCTGCCCTGCACGCTCAGCAAGGTTTGGGGCTTAGTCTCTGCTGAGAGATTGAGGGCTGATACCCAGAGCCTGAGGACACTGCTCACCAGACATTACCCAGGGCCCACACTTGGAAACTGAACCGCCAGCTTTGCAGCTGTCCTGGGGTTTTAACTGCTCTCCGTTGTTTGGCAAAGCTCCAGCCAGAGTGGAGGTGATAGGGAGTGGGCCACCTCTGAACCTGAGGTTCCCCAGGACAGTAGTGTTGAGGATTATGTGGAGTGGGGGGGGGTGGTGGAGACTAGAGGAGTCTCTGGGATTTGAGGGTTTTCTGGGGGCTGGGGACTGTGAGGAGTGAGGACCCTCCCGGGGTGGCCAGGGGGATGGGGGCAGAGCACTCACGAAGCCACTGCAGCTGTCACAGAAGGTGGGCTTGCGGAAGGTGACCTCATGGAAGGTGTGCAGGAAGGCCAGGCCCAGCTTGGAGCAGATGGCGCTGGCCCGGAGCAGGTACTCCGTCAGCTCCTCTCGGCTGAAGGAGCCGCTCCTGGGGTGGAGACCCACTTCAGCATGACTGGCCCTTCTTCCCACACCCAGGAGTTCTGGTGACCCCAGTATCCTTATCTGTCTTCAGGGGCCCAGGAGTCAGGGTCACTCACCCCTGACGGGGAAGTGGGTGAAGGCCGTGGCAAGCGAAGGGGAAGTTGCCCAAGAGTCGCTCCAGGTCCTCCTCAGAGATGCTCCCTCGGCTTTCAGGATCATAATTCTTGAACACGGACTTGGGAGGAGCATGGGGAGGGTGAGTCAGAACGAGTCAGGAGCCCCAAGGCCTCGGGGTCCGGGGCTGTCCAGAAGTCACCCTTCCTGGCCCCCAGAGACCACCCGCAGTCTCGCTCTCACATCCACCAGCTGCTCCACGTGCCGACTCAGGGTGATCCTGTCGGGCTTGGGCGTCACGACGGGGGCCCACTCCACCAGGGGCGCTTTGAAGGGGGACGGTGGCTGGGGCAGCAACAGAGCGGCCCAGTCAGTCAGTGCATGGGCTTGAGCTGGAGGCCAGGGGTCAGGGCCCGGGTCTCACCAGACTCTTGGGACAGCGGGGCTCCCGGGCGTAAGAAAGCGCGTAGATCTCGTCCTCCGTGTAGAAGAGATCCAGGGACAGCTGGGGGCAGGCAGGGCGTTACAGACCCGCCTCCCCACCCTCCTGTCCAGCCCACGCTGCTGGCATCCTCTTTCCACAGCCCCCTTCACTGGGGTGCCCCAGAGCCTCCTTCCCACCGAGGCCCTAGCCATATACTATTCCCCAGGCTCCTAGTCCAGAAACACCATTTTCTTGCTGAGCCTCTTGGATGCTTAACTACCCGGTCACTTTCCTCATTCCTGTCTTCAGTCTTTCCTAGAGCGCTTACCTGACAGAGGGCCACAGACTGGCTGTGTTTCATCAGCTGCTTCCCCCTTTAGGATGTCAGCCCCATGAAAACAACAGTTGTTTCTCTCTGGCTTGCTCACTGCCCTGAGCCTCTGTGTCCATGCAGAGCCTGGCTCGCTGACGGTGCTTGCTATGCTTGGGCTGATGGCCTCTTAGTCAGTAAACACAGGACTTAAGGTACTGGCCATCGGTGGGGTAGGGCTGGGCCAGCTTCCCTAGTAAGTCCCTCACTGAGAGGAGCGCGCCCTCCCCCCCATTTTGTTTAATGCCCAACTGCCATTGTCTTGAAATTCTTAAGAATTCTGAATAAGGGGCCCCCTCGTTTCCATTTGGCTCTAGGCTGGTCTTAGGGTCTGAAAATCAACTTTTCAACCTGAGATAGTCAGTCATCACATTCCCAGTCTTTCTCAATTTACAGCTCCTTAGAAATATATTTTTATGTATGTAACATACATTTAAATGTATGTAACATATGAAATAAAATAGAGGCAGCATCCCACACTCCCATCTTAGGCTCCAATGCGGTGGGGTTCACACGTGGGCGCAGAAGCTGGCCTGCCTGTGTCCTAACCCAGGTTTCACAGCTGTGGGGCAGCAGGCAGGGCACCCGCTTCTGTGGGCCTCAGTTCCCATCTGGAGAATGGGCGTCATAAAGGCCTCGCAGGGCAGGGACGTGGGGCCTGGCACGTGCTGAGTGATCAGTAACCAGTAGGTTACTGGTTCCTGGATATGTTAGCCCTTGGGATTCTGGACTAGTGGCACAAGAAGCTTGGAAACGGGTTTCAGGAGTGTGAAAGTGCAAAGCCATCCTGCAGCTCAGACAGATGGATACAGGAGCTGCTGGGGGCAGTACCGGGGTGGTGTGCGTTGCACAGATAGCGTTCCCCGTGACTTTGTGACTGATAGACTGGTGGGTTGTCCTCAACCACTCTCCGAAGTGCCCCCTATTATTACTCCCATTTTGCAGATAAAGAAACATGACTTGCCCCCCGCCACACAGAAAAAAGCCCTAGATGCCGGAGCATGCCAGGGCTGTTCTCCCGCCCTCACCGCCCAGGGCTGTAAACCTCGGCAGCTGCAGGCTCAGCTCACCGTGAGCAGGTGCAGCAGGTCCTCGTTGGCACTGCAGGGGGGGTTCTGCCTCTGGAGGTCCGCCAGCTCCTGCAGCCGCTGGTAGAGGCTGTTGAGCTTGGGCAGGTACAGGTGGCCATCAGGCAGCCTGTCGGGATGTGCCTCGTGCAGGGACACCAGGTCCTTGAGGTGCACACCCAGGACAGGCAGCCGGAAGCCCGTGCAGCCAGCCCAGATGCGGCGGTAGCAGGCGTAGTTGTTGTGGGAGGCCAGGAGATCAGTCAGCTCCAGCAGGGCCTGTGTGGGAGGGCTGAGTTATGGGGAGGCGTGCTCAGCGGGGCTGCTACTGGGGAGGCCAGTTGTTGCCTTAGGCCTCTGGAGGAAGAGAATGGAGGAAGAGTCTCTAGCAGCCTGCTGTGTGAGCTCCAACCGCCCCAGGGCCCCAGTGGCACTTGAGACACCTCCAGTGTGCCCCGCCCTGGCCTCAGCCTCTCCCCAAACTGCTCACCTCCGCGGGGTCCCACTATTCCTCATTCCCAGGCTAGAGTGATTTTTTCAAAAACCCAAATCTGCAGATGGGTGCCATCCTCACTCCCGAAGCTCCCCCACCTCCCACTGCGGTCCGGGTGAAGCCTGGACACCATGGGCCAGCTTGCGAGACGCCCCCGTGGCGTCTCCATCCTCGTTTCCTGCTACTCCCTGACTAGCCACACACCAGTCTCGTGAATGACGCACTCCCCACGCTTCCCAGGTGCGACACTCCCACCCAGCGCTGTGCCTGTGGGAAGCCCAAGTGTCACTCCCACCTAGACGGCCATTGCTCTGCTGGCATGACCCCCGGCTGTCCAGACAGGGAGAGCCAAGCAGGGTCAGCACGGTGGGTGGGGGGCGGCGGGGGGAGGGAGGAAGCCTGGGGTCTGCCGGATTTGGAGGAGCAGGGTCTCTGTGGTTCCAGGGCTCCTGGCAGGGATTGGGGGGACTTGGAGTAGAGTGGTTGGGGCACTAATCTAGCTGGTTGCTGGAACTTTGGGGAGAGTGGTAGGGGGTTACCTTGGTGCTGTCAGGGCTCAGGTGGGCGTGAGAGTCCTTGAGTCTGGAGATGGCACTGTGACACAGGCCCCCCGTGACTGCCATCAGCGTGTTGAAGTTCTGCAGCTGGTGGAGCCTCTAGAAGGGTGGGCATGACAGAGATGATGGCTGGTATAGGACAGATGGCAAGTTGGGGTTCAGATGAGAGTATCCCAGTCGAGTTGGGGTATCAGGCTTGTGGAGATGGGGGCTGATGTGGGCCTCAGACAGCTGACAGGTGTCAGGCAGGAGTGGGCCACGGGCAGGTATGTGGGCAAGGGACAGGTTGATGTGAGGCCAGAAATAAGTGGGGGGAGTCACGTCAGTCACTGGGGAGTTAGGCAGGTTTGGGGATCAGGCAGGTGTGGGGTTATCTGCTTGATAACCTACTCTTGCAGAGTTAGGAACTGGGTAGAGGATGATATGGGGAGTGAGAGGTGTGGGCCTGCAGTTATCTGGGGCAATTGATTGTCGCATCCTCCCCTTTTTCAGGTGTCAAGGGTGGAGATCCCTGAGGAGAAGGTGGGGTTAGGGAGAAGTGGGAGACTCCAGGCAGACAGCCCAACCTGGGGTGCAAGGAGTGCTGCAGGGAGGGGGCGCTGGGAGCGGCCAGAGGAAGGGCGTGGTCTGTGAGGAAGTACACGCGAGGCGTGGCCACGCGGGGGTGGGGGGGGAGAGGCTTCCCTTTTCTCCAGAAGTGGGGTGGGGGTAGGGGTGGGCGTGACACAATGGGGCAGGGCCAGGGAGTGGACTGAGTGTGGCTGAGGGTGCTGTGGTTGTCCTGAAGAGTCCCCTGGGGCCCATGGGCTGGGATGGAGGGAGATGTGCAGGTGGGTGGTATAATAGAAGCACTTTCACTGTCTTCAGGATAGAATGTTGTGGAGAAGTTGCGGAGTTGGGGCCCCAGGAACATCTAGGGCCAGGGGGTGAGGCCAGGGTAGATTTAACATGGAAGTCAAGGCCAGGAAGAAGTGCCAGCCTAAGGCTCCATTAGGGGGAAAGGGGCGGGGCCAGAGTGGGGGGGGCGAGGCGTGGTGGGCCGGGCCAGGAGTTGGACGCTTCACTGCTCTGAGGGGCCTTCTGGGGCCCTGGGACAGGGGGCCTAGACTGCCAGGGGAGGGGCCGACAGTGGGTTAGTCCTGCGGGACTGTGGGAGGCCTCACCTGTGCCACGTGGATGAACTTGTCCAGCACCTGAGCCCGCTGCGTGGGCCCCGGGCGGCTGAGCACCATGACCTGCACCCAGCGGGACACGCTGTTGCTGAGTCTCACGGATCCTTCCAGGGCCGGGCAGCCGCGCACGGAGCCCTGCAAAACGTAGCCCCGCAGGTCCTGGGGCTGGGGGTGAGATGGGCTTCAGGCTGGGCAGTAGCTCACAGCCCTGCTGCTCACACCCGTCACCCTAGTAGTCACCATCTCCGATGACCTAGCCAGGTCTAATTTGCGTGATCTTTGCCATCTATCTCCTCCTCCCAAGCTGTCACACATTCCTGACATCACCATGGATATTTTGGTATTCCCATTTTAGCCATGAGGTCATTGAGGCACAGAAAGGATAAGTAATTTGCCAGGGTCGCACAGGCATGGGTCAGGGTGGAAGTCCAGCTTGTTGCTCTTCACTGGGCTGGTATCCGGCCAGAAGAGGGGATGTGAAACCAAGGTCCATTTTTCTGCTGAGGGCATCAGCCTGTCATACCCTCAGCACTCCGGGTTTGCATGTCTATAACTAGGAACATTAAGAACCAGGGACATTAAGAACCAGGTCCCTACCTCCCTGAGAACTGATGATGGCCCTGGCTAACACATTTATAGGTTGTAGCATGCAAAACTGTGTTTGGGCAGGTAAGATCTCAAAGTTTCAAAAACGATTCAACACGTTTGTATTCACCCTTGATCTTGATGGGCCACAGAGACAGGAACTACTAAATTCCCTTTTCACAGAAAATAGACCTGGGTACAGTAAATTTAAATGCTTCTCAAATAAACGAGGTGTTAGTCAAACATTTTGAGGCCTCGCTGTGCCCTACCCACTGTGACCAGCATTTTTAGTCCAGGGAGGCCTTACGACCTCCATTTACCCATGAGAATACGGAGTCCCGGAGAGAAACGACTTCGGAGTTCCAAGGATGAGAAGGGGCTGTTGGGATTTGAAGCCAGATGCTCCGTGCGCATCCCCTTTAACTTACTTCCCTGGAGCCTCCAGCACCTGAGTCTGAAGAGCTTGAGGTCCCTGCCCAGCACCCACGCAGGAGTCCTCTCTGTCTTGCCTGGCCTCCACCCCCAGCGCCTCCCCGGAAGGGGTAGAGGTGCCCTCACCGTGATAGCCTGGAAGGACCGGAACTCCAGGTAAGTGAGGTGCTGAGCCAGCTCCCCCGTCTCCAGGTGGTCGAAAAGCAAGGACACTTTGCGCTTTTTGCCCAGACCTGGGCTGCTTGTGGGTGGTGGAGGTCCAGGCCCACCCGGGCTCAGACTGGGAGGGAGAAAGGGGGGCAGGGAGTTGGTGGAGTTTGGGGTTGAGTGTGGGGTGTGGAGGGAAATGGCAGAGGAGGGGCCGGGGAAGGAAGGGTGAGGAAGCAACTCACAGGTTGGAAGAGTCTCCCAGGCTCCTCTGGGCTGAATTGCCCTCCTGGCCCACCGTGGCCCAGAAGCGACCGATCACCTCTTCCAACTGGGGGTCCTGGTGTACTGCCTCAGGGTGTCGGGTCAGCCAATACCTGAGGGTGAGGTGAGGTGGCCTTGGGGATAGGAGGGGGGCTGTAAAGGTCTCTTTTAGACTGAGGAATTGGAAGGTGCTGGACTGATGGGGGTCTCTAGAAGGTCAGGATTCAGAGAAGCACCAGGCTGGGGTGCTCTCGGGGAGTCGGAGGCTGGGGGAGGGTGTTGGAGACAGACCGGGTGATTGCTTGGAAGTGGATTACTGGGAAGCCAGATGGTTGGCCATGGGTCCAGGGTCATGTTAGTGGGGGTCTTGGGATTTTGGAGGAAGTGGGGTCCTAGAGACTAAGCAGAGCTATGTGGGGGGTGGGGGTTTAGAGACGGGAGGTCTCTGGGCACCAGCCTGGCAGAGGGCCTATATGATCTGTTTAGGGTTCTCCAGGAGGTGAAGATGAGGCTTCGTAAGGTGTTGTTTTGAGGAGAAAATAGAGTGTGGGTCCTGGGTCACGCTAGTGGGGGACTTGGCTCAATCCTACCTGACCAGGTGGCAGATTTGCAGTTGCCTCAGCTCTTGTGTATCTCTGGCAGCCTCCTGGTACTTGAATTCTGGTCAAGGCTTTGATATCCAGCACCCCAGCTCCGCCTGCTTACCCCACCCCGCCCCCAGGTTCTCATCATTCCCCCACCCCCTGCACCCACTGTTCATGGCCCTGGGAGGATATAAGGTGAGCAGGCGGGTGGCGAGGTGGGCAGAAGGCAGCACCCAGCTGTGCATGGTCAGCACCATGTTGAGAACGTGATCCCTGCGGCACAGGCTGCCCGTGGAGTCTGGGGCGGGAGGAAGCAACTGGTCAGCTTGGTCCCCGGGGAGCAGGTGGTCCGTCCAGAGCCTGGTGGACCACCTGACTCAAGGGACACTCTACCCATGACCACCTCCATGAACTCGGGCAACAAGCTTGACCTCTGTTAAGTTTGTGCCTCAGTTTCCTTGTCTGTGTGGTGCACGGACAGGACAGCCCCTGGCAAGTTAGGTTGAAGGTCAGGGTAATACGAGACCTCTGTGCATCTCGGGAAGAAGAAACACAGATGTCTCTCTCTTACCCACTTCAATAGATGTTGGAATCCATTTTGCACACCCCATCGCCACCTTGTACTCCCCCAAACTGAGGCCCAGAGAGAGGTGTGTGCTTGGCCCAACCATGGGGTGGGCGCAGCCAGGAGGAGATACTCACCAAAGGACTGGATGCATTTCTCCAGTAGCTCATCCTCGCTGCAGCCGCCCTCGTTCAGCATGCCCAGAGCCATGGAGGCCATGACCTTGCTGATTTCCCGGGGGCTGGGACACGTCTTGTGGCGGCGGGCCTGTCGGGGCCGGCCCCGACCCCCTGGCTTCCCCAGGCATTCCTGGTGGGACTTCCTGTGAGTACACCCCAGGGGATCATGGGAACCATTCCTTTACACAGAGCCCCAGACTTCTCCTACAGGTTAACGTCAAGGGTAACTCCTGCCTCCTTCAGAGAATCAGGGCAGAAGATCCTCAAGACCACCCGGAAGCCCCAGGGAATTGTGGGGGGCTCCCCACTAAGAATTGGCCAGAGAATCAAAGTCTCCCTCTAGTCACTGACCCCACAGTCTCCTGACTTTATGGTCCCCTCTCAGGAGTGAGGCTTTCTGTGACAGACCCCTGAGGTTTCTCCCAACCTAGCTGGGAATCAGAAGAGAGGACCCCCTGAATTTCCTGCCCACCGCAGGGGCATCACAGGAGACAGCCTTCCAGGAACTGCCTTGGAATTCCCTTTTGTTCTTCAACCCCGTCCTTCCTCTCCTGGCCCTCAGAACCCTGATATTTCATGTCTGCATCTTCCTCTACCTTGAGTCCCACTGAGGTGACAGACCCCTCCCACCTCCCCACCCCAGCCCCTCAGCCAGTCCTGGCAGAACCTGAGTGACTGCTGTGGAGCCCTGGAGAAGCTGTGCATTCGGCGTGGCCTTGCTAGGGCTCTTAGGAGCTGGGTGGGGTCCCTGGGGCTGAGGCAGCTTCAGGAAAAGTTTAAAAATAACCCTCACACTGCTTTGTGCCTCTCTGAGGCTCTGTGTTCTAGTTGGGGAAAAAGTAATGGAAAGACGGAAAGGTAGGGGAAGGAGGGACAGGATCCAGGCAGAGGGGCCTTCGGTTCCGCGAGTCGGAAGAAAACAGATCGGGGCAATTTCTGCTCCTGTGGGACTTTGTGCAGGTCACATCATTGCTCTGGGCTTTTTCCTCATGGAAAAAATGAGGGTCACCCTTGGACCTTCCCTAGAAATTTACTATAAACATTCAATGCTGAGCGCCAAAAGTATGGAAGTAAAGGCCTAGGGCTCTCAGGCTGTTAATTGGCAGAGGCGGAAAGTTGAACTTGAGATGCAGAGAGCAAGTGATGGACACACGAGCCTTGGGGGCGAACCAGAAAATCAGGGGATGCTCCTGACAAGGGCGCTGCCAGCTGCCCCACATCCTGAGGGCTCAGGAGGTCAGCACTGAATGGTGTCTGGTGACAGCTGGCATGTACTGCGTGCTGAGGCTGTGCTGGGCAGAGACGAACACCTCTGTAGGTCACTGGTCCCCAGAGCAGGGCTCCCAAGCAATACCCCCAGCGCCACCTGGGAATCTGATATGCACACACATTCTCAGGCCTCACACCTGCAGCAGTGTCAGAAGCGCTGAGGGACCTGTGTCATTCACACCCTTCAGAGGCCCTGCCTAGAGTGCGTAGCACACACCTCTCCAAGGAAGGACTGCGCTGATTCCATTGATAGAAGAAGAAACCGAGGCACAGAGCAATTAGGTGACTTACCTAAGGTCACACAGCCAGAGAATGAGGCCGCCAGGTCACCACTAAACTGCTGGATATTATGGGAAAGGGACCCCTTTGTCTATCTGAAACATGTTGGGAGAGGCGGGAGGGGCTACCCAAGGTAGGGACCCACCAGCCACGGTCACCCCCATGAGTTCTGCAGAGCAAGCTGGTGTAAGAAACCTCTTCCAGAACTCCTTGCCACAGCTGCTAGGCCCTTACCTGGGAGGCAGGGGGTACGTAGTGTCTGGAGCAGCCAGCTGTGCTTAAGAGGTGGGGGACCACCATGCCCAGTGTCATGCTCCCCTCCCCTCTGGGGGCAAGGGGGCAACCAGGGAAACCCCAGGAGGGCAGAGCTCCCAGCTTCCGATGGAGGATGGAGGAAGGGGGCAGGGCGGGGGTGAGGGGATGCAGCGCTCAGACTGCAGAGCGCACAGGATCACCACTCAGCCCCTCACTGCCTCTGGGTTCTGTGAAACCTCTTCCACTTGGCACCCTGCTCCTGCTTCCAGAAAAGCTACCCCTACCCCTGCGAAGCACCCCCCAGCCTTCCCACGCAGCACGGAGCAGCACAAGGGCTGAGCGTGACCCCTCCCTGGACGGGCCCTCTTACCTCTTACTGTCTTTCCTGTTCATACTTCCTGAGGGTGGGAGGGCAAGGGGGGAGTTGCATGAAGGTGCAGTTCCTCCCCCTCACCCATGGACCAGCTTCTTAGCCCCTTGGGAGCTGGGGCCTCTTCAGTGCTAGGAAGGAAAGAGGAACTGCCCCTCCCCACCCAGGGGGAAGGAAGAGGCTGGGGAGAGACCAAAGGCCCCCTCCCCCTACTTGGGGATCCCTTTGGGCTGAGGTTTCCGGTGCCGCCTGCCCCTGGCCCTAACGTCCAGCAGGCTCTCTCCCTGTCTCCCCTATCTTTCTGTCTCTAGACCCGTGACTCTGTTCTGTCACTGTTAGGCTTCCATAAACCATGTTTTTAAAAAAAGGATATGACACATCTATGTACTCACACAGAAACTCAAAGGCCGGCAAGTCTATGTGGACATAGTTATACCGTGCACAAGGGTTTGAATGGAAATGCACAAGACGCAGCATTTTGTATGTTTTTGTTTTCAAGATTTATTTTATTTATTTATGCATGCAAGAACTGGGGTGTAGGTCAGAGGAGCAGGGTGTGAGAAGATTCACCAGAGATAGAATGGGGAGCAGAACAGGTGGACAGCGGGGACTGCTGAGGGGAGCAGTGAGACAGGAGAGAGGTCTGCTGCTCCCTGTGGGTCAGCTCCCTGACCCAGGGATTAGAGGGCGAATTGTTTGGTAATAGCTTGATAGAGCTGGTTTTAACCCCTGTACTACTGGGGAGATCCATTCATTTCTTTTCCTCTAGTTTAGTTTTAATAAAACCATGTGTAGCCCAGAAAACATTCTCACCATTACTTTCATTGCCACAAGCCCTTATGTACCACTGACTGTATACCACACAGTATGGTAAATATTTTGAATATTAAAATATTAACTCATTCAGTTCTCACACTCTTAAAGAATGTTGTCTGATTATGAAAACATTAGGGAGAGAGGTAAACTTTCTGGGAGTTCTCTCCCTGGAGTCTCCCACAGTCCCTCTCCAGCAGGGAGGACCAATGTCATATAATAGCAGTTTTCAAGAAACATGTTTGTGTCTTGTCCTTCAATGAAAAAATGTGTCGAGTGTGACACATTTGGGAAAAGAATTTCTATGATACATAAACATATAAACAAAGGTAAGGCCCAGACTTGGGATGAAACCCATAAATCAAGAACCAGGACATTCCTCTCCCCTACCAGTGCCCTGTGCCGCTTCCTAATGCTGTCCCCCAAAAGTTACCTCCAGCCTTTTGCTAACAGAATTACTTTATCTGCATTTGAGCTTCACAAAAAGAGTCACTTCATGTGTCTGGCTTCTTTCATTCAATATCATGTCTTTGTGATATGTCTTCCAGGTTACTGTTTTTGGTTGTAGTTTATTCGTTTTCTTTGCTGTATAGTTGTCCATTGTGACACAGTCTGCATTTCTCAATGATGGGGAGACATGCTGAGGAATGTGTTGTTGCACAATTTCATTGTGTGCCAATGCCAGGGTCTAGTGACAATACAAACCTGGATGGTGTAGCCCTACTACAAACCCAGGCTAGAAGACACGCCGATTGGCACCGATGTATATGTGGTTTGTCAATTGCCAAAATGTACAGTGGTACATGACTATATATATATTTTACTTATTCATACAGAACTGGGGTACAGGCCAGAGATGTGGAGGGTGAGAGGATTCACCAGAGACAGAGTGGGGAGCAGAACAGGCAGATCAACGAAGTACACTGCTGAGGGGAGCAGTGGGCAGGTCAGGAGAGGTCTGCCGCGCCATGTGGATCTCCTCCGGGGCAGGCGGGGATCGAACTCATGCGGAAGTGGCTTTAGTTTCTTAGTGCTGTGCTTTAACCTGCTGCGCCACCAGGGAGGGCCCAATACATGACTATATTTTACAATTTAATGATTAAGTAGTTTCCAGTCAGAGCTGCTGTGAATAATGCCGTCTTGAACATTCTAGCACTTGCCTTTTGATGAACATTAAGGTGTGCAACTCTTTAGGTAGAGACCCAGGAGTGGAATGAACAGTCCTAGTAATTAATATGATTCCGCCAAACCCAGTGTATTAGTCACTCAATCAAAGCTGTCCTAGAAGTATATTTTTGCTCCATTTTTTTCACTTTTTTGCATACCAGAAATCCAGACAAGCACAGGATCTGTTTTAACTTTCTATTACATAGCATGCCAATTTGTTTCTGAGCCGTTCTCCACATCCTTCCTCTTCCTGCCTCTTCTCTCTTTCTCCTTTGGCCTCAAGTGACATTGTCCTTAAAGTGCTGTTTCCTAGTTCCTCTCAGCAGCACCTGCATCTCAGAGAGGTGATGGAATGTTCCGGGCTGAGCCCAACTTGTAGTGTGAGTGTCTCCGGGCTCCTGGGCATATCAGGAGGAGGTCGGAAAGGCTGGCACTGGGACATGCGCATTTCACCCTGGAGCTCCTCAGGGATGGTCATACCCCCAGTAACAGTGACAGTCACGCAGAAAAGACTCTGAATTTGACCACAGGAACTCATCAAGCAGAAAAAGGATGCCTTTGATAATATGCAAATAAGGATTTCTTTGAATGAGAACACCATGGGACAAATACCAGATAACAAAACGGAAATAGATAGTTACACTGTCTATCAATGAGAAATTAATATCTAGGATGTAGGCGGAGCAGCTGCAAGTCAGCAAAAGAAGATAGCAACTCTGATGGGCAAAGATAAGGAGTGGGTGATGAGGAAGCTCTTAACAGTCCCGAAGAAGAAGCTAGACATGGCTGGTAACCAATCAGAGCAGTGCAAATTAAAATTATAATCATCATATTGGTCTGGCAAACAAAGGGAGGTAGAAAATGTCAAACAGATGTTGAGGCGGTGGAGGGTCGTTGCCACGAGCACGGGGCACCGTCTAAGCACATGCAAGTCACTGTCACTTGCCAGTGAATTCTGACCCTGTCGCACCGAGACTTTCTCCTTCCACTCCTTGAGGGGGCATATACAAGGATGTTCACTACGACGTTATTTTGGGGATCCTAGGGACAGCTGGGGTGTCCACCACCTGGGGGGGGTGAATAACAGAAGGGTCAGTCACCAAGGAGTCCTGTGAAGCTCCCACAAGTAGCCAGTAACCAGGTAGTCATAATGGTGGCTGACCAAAAAAGAAACACTATTAATAACTTATGATATAATGTACCATGACATAGACTAATTTGATGTCACATATAAAATTCTAAAGAAAAGCTTAATATTTGATATAGAATGTAAAATAAAGGACAGGATTACATTGTACTATATAATTACATTAGCCTAATATAATCTTCTTTAATTATATAGTCTATCACTCAATAATATGGTAGAAACTTATATGCAATATATTATAATCATATAGTCAGTTTTTATGTAACAGAAAAAAATAACCTATTATACACTTAGTAAATTTTATATATAATTTTCTTGAATGGTATGCTATTGTTTTTATGACTTAAATATAAATATAATTATACACTAATACAACCACTTAAATAGATCCACATACTAGTCAGCTATTATGTAGTTTGCTTGGACAAGTCACTTAAACCTCTCTGTGCCTCAGTTTCCCCTTCTGGTCAGGATATTAATAGTCTCTACTTCACAGTGCTGTTTCACTCATTTAATTTCAATGAGACCATTTAAATTAATTAATACTTATTTATGCATACAAGAAGTGGGGTATAGGCCAGAGGTGCAGGAGGTGAGAGGATTCATCAGAGACAGCGGGGAGCAGAACAGGCAGGTTGACAGAAAGACACTGCTGAGGGGAAAAGCAGGTGAGACAGGAGAGGTCTGCTGTGCTAGTGGGTCATCTCCCTGGCTGGGGATCGAACTCAGGCAGCAGTGGCTGGTGAGGACCAGCCACCAGGGAGGTCCTAACTGAAATCATTTTATTAAAAAAAAAAAGCACTTATGATGGCACATGGATGATTTGGTAATGGGAAGCCCAGGGGGATTACAAATGAGATGAAAAAATGCACAAAGTGATGTAAAAACAAACTTTTACATTTTTTAAAAAATACAAAAAGTGGACACACTGTAAAAAAAAGCACTTAAAGCAGTGCCAATGCATAGTAATCATTATGGAAGTGTTGCTGTCATCAGCAGCAGTATTAAAAATGAACTAATGAATTTTCTCATGGAATCTTCCCCAACCCCAAGAGGCAGGAACAATTCCATAGTCTGTTGACAGATGAGGAAACTGGTCCTCAGAGGCACAAAGCTACCTACCTGGAAGCAGGCCCAGATATGTGTGGCATCCTCCCCTGGGCCTCTTGGCCTCACAGCTTCCTGTTTTAGGGCTCTGTCATAGCTCCCCAGAGCCCTGGGGCTCCCCAAGAACCTTTGTCTCCTCTAGCCTGCAGGGCCAGAATCAGTAAGAGCTGCTTACCAGGCTTCTGCTCTCCAATTTTTAAAGCCCAGGGTACTTATCTGAATAAAGGGGTGGTCCAGCAAGTGGCCCTCTGTGACTCAGGCAGTCCCTGGGAGAAAAAAACGTGTTAGAAAAAAAGTGGGGTTTTGTTATAAATAGGAGTTATTATGCAAATATCCAAACAGTGAAGAAGAATCGTTAAGGACCCTGGCTCTGGTTCATATCTCTGGCTCTGCCTGTGTGACCTTGGGCAAATCACTGCACCACTCTGTGGGAGCTTTCCTCATCTGCAAAATGGGCACCACTAGCATACTGACTTCTTGAAATTGGTATGAGGACTATGTCATGGATTTGAATTTTGTCCTTAAAACTATACATGGTGGGCCCTCCCTGGTGGCGCAGCGGGTTAAAGCACAGCACTGAGAAGCTAAAGCCATTTCAGCATAAGTTTGATCCCGGCCTGGGAGGGGATCCACACGGCAGACCCCTCCTGTTTGGCCCGCTGCTCCCCTCAGCAGTGTTCTTCATCACTCTGCCTGTCCTGCTCCCCTCTCTGTCTCTGGTGGATCCTCTCACTGCTCCTGCACCTCTGGCCTATACCCCAGTTCTGTCCTGCCTAATCAATTTTTAATGGTGATGGTAGCAACATTTACATAATATGTACTATGTATTGGTGCTGTCCTAAGTGTGTTTATTTTGTTTTAATCTGATAAGACATATCATTTAATCCTTGCCTCAGCTCTGTGAGGTAGGTATTATTACTTTCCTCTTACCGGATGGGGGAAACTGAGGCACGACAGGTTAAATGACTGCCCAGGCTCCAAGTAAGGCTGTGACAGGCTGGGATTCAGTTCCAGGTTGTCTGACACCTTTGCCAGTCCTGATTTTAATCACTACGTGTAGTGCTTTTTAAAGTCCTAGGACCCATTTCTGCTCTATGACATCAAGCAAAGGTTTCCCCTCTCAGAGCCTGAGTCTGTACTCTTTGAAAAGGGAAATGATGGCACCTTCCTTAAAATGAAGCTGGAGAGAGGACACCTACCTCCTGGATAGGGGACCTGCGATAGGGCCCCTTCTTCCGCCTGAGCCGCAGCCTGTAGCCAAGGCTCAGGGCTTGTGGGCGGGGCTCCTGGAAAGAGGCGTGGCCTTGTCTTCCTGGCCCAATGAGGGCCAGGGGGCGGGAACCTCCTCCTTGCTCTGTCCAGCGCGCGCGCCCTCCTCGCAGTTCCATCTACCTCGCGGGTACCTCGGGCGTCTCCGGAGGTCTCCGACCCCAGCCCGCCCCCCAACCCACCGCCCCGCCTGTGGCCCCCTCCCTCTACTCCCAGACCCCGGCCCCTCGGAACTCGACATCATGGGTGATGGAGGAGAGGGCGAGGACGAGGTCCAATTCCTGCGGACGGTGCGTAGTATCTCTTCTCTCTGTGCTGGGTGTCTCAGGAGGTATCTCTCGGGTGCCTGAGTGTCTCTCTGTCTCTGTCTGCTTGTTGACGATCTCTGAGGCTCGGGGTCTCTCTGGATGAGTGTCACTCTGTCTTGCTCCGTTTTCGTGCCTCCGAGTCTCTTCCCTTTCTCACCACAGAAAATTCGCAGAATTTGACCCTGCAGAATGGGAAGAAGGCGCTTTGGCCACTTTGTAGTCTGAAATTAGTGATTTGTCTCTGAGAAGGGATCACTGCTGAGGAATCACCCCCTCCCACCCTGGAAGCAGGCACTCCGGGAAGGTGGTTCTAATTCCTGAGCTTAATATAGCCGCCTCCGTCCTCCCCCACCCCCAGCCCTAATTCTCTTCTTGTTCCAGACTCTGACCTATTTACATTCTTGGGAAGGGGGCTGGAGTGGACTTGAGGACCCCAATTCCATTGAACTCTCAGCTCTAAAGCGTCTCCTCGGGGCCCCTTGGCCCCTTAGTTCTGGGTCTTCTTCCTTCCTCCTTGGTTTTGGGAAGGAGGTTCGTCTGTGGCTCCTTGTTGTCTCTGAATGGAGTCTCCAGATCCCTCTCTGGTCGCCTGTGCCTCTCCATCTCCACCTCCCTGTCTCTGTCTCTGTGCTTTGGCCTTAGGTTTCCTGTGCTTTCCTCTGCCTCTATAGCTCTGTCTTTCCCGTCTCTGAACCCTGGCTGGGGGGCAGGGATGGAAATTGGAACAACAGGTGTCCTTCCCAGAATAGCCTTTTTTTTTTTCCTGGGGACTGGGCTTGGGACAGGGTGAGGATGGCAGTGGGGGAGGGGCAGCAGGCAGGGGCTGCCCATCTCATAGTCCTTCCCACTTTTCCCTCCAGTGACTTGGCTGGGTGTGGGGGTGTGAGTATGGGAGGTGATGTTCTTTCCTCTGGGCAAGGTCTGATGACCCTGCACTATTCCTTCAGCTTCCCCTCCTGGGCCCTGACAAAATGCTGACGCAGCATTCCGGCCCCAGAATAGGACCCTGGTCACTGGGGTCCGGTTTCCTGGGTGGGAGGAGGAAACAACTGGTGCTGGTAATGAAGGATAGGGACAGCTGGACATTCAGCTTCACCCCGGATTCTTGCCCCAGCCCCAGTCCCTTAGACACCATGGGTTGGGCTCTCCTTTCTGGCCCTAGTAAGACCAAGGCCATGGCCAGCACCCCCTGAGCAGCAGTGCCCAGGACTGCCGTCTTCTGATGCATCTAATTATACCCTAGCTGCCCTGTCTTCTGAGGTCGGGCCCTATCTTTATCTCCAGGGGAGATTTGCGGGAAACCGAGGCTTGAGCCGCGTAGTCACTCGCCCAAGGTCAAGGCCAGGGAAGCGTCATCTCCAGATGCCCCTGAGGCCTCGTGCTTCTGCTTCCCCAAGAGGAAAGCTGGGCTCACACTTGCAGGGTAGCTAGTGTTGGCCCCGGGACCTGGCCCTGGTGTCCCTTGGCCCCAGGCTTGGTCTGTTTTCCTGAACTTTTCAATCTTCTGGGACGTGGTCCCACCAGTAAGGCATGGCTTATTTTGTAACTTATATTGAAACCCAGTACATGAATGTACACACTTGCACTATAAAATCGGCTTAATTAAGGTAAACTGATGTGCAGGAAATGGTACCCATTTTAGGTTTGCCATTCCATGAATTTGGACAAACTCTTTATACTTATGTGACCAGGATCCTATCAAAATATAGAATGTTTCCCTTACCCCAGAACAGTTCCTCTCGCTCTTTGCTAATGGTCTGCCAGTCTGCTTTATGTCACTATAACTTCTACTGGTCACTTCTAGTGTTTTGTATGTGATACAGGCTTATTTGTCTTCTCTTGCATGGTGTAATATTCTTGACATAAGTCTGTGTATCATGTACCAAGAATTCATTTCTTTTTGTTGCTGAGGAATATTCTGTGAATCTCCCACAGTTTTCTTGCCCTGCTGATGAATTTGGGTTGCCTTCAACTCATGCAAGTGCAGACAAATTAGGTGCATTCACACATGCTTATTTTAAAAAATAGTTTATTTCTACATCATTTGCTACCTTTTCCCATCTCAGTTGTAATCCCTGTGGGCTTCCCATCACCAGTTCACCTGTGTGCTATCCCATGGTCCTGTGCACTCCCCCCACCATTTTTGATCCCATCCCCCACTCCACCCTCATAAAATGTCTCTGGTATGTAGCTGTTCATTATTATTATTCTTCCGCCCTGGTCCTTTATGCTCCTTCTACAAGTGAAACCATCCGGTATCTTTCTTTTTCTTTCTGGCTTATTTCACTAAGCATGATCCCTTCCAGCTCCATCCACACACATGCCTATTTTTAACAGAAACAAGTTTCAGAAAATGTAGTTAGCCCATGGAGCAAGAGGGGCATGTAGCTATTTTCTGTTCTGGCTTACTTATTTTAGCTTTTCAGCGAGGTAGTCATGGCATCCCCAGTAGATTTCATTTCCCTCTGACGGGTGGCAACCTCTAACCTTACCCAGACTGGGGTTTCTCAACTGGGGTTTCTCAACTGGAATGATCGACACCAGAACCCCCTGGGGTCTGGCCAATCCACTGATCAGGCTTTTAGCATGAGGGGAAGACTGGATAGCAAAGAAGCTGCATTTTTTAAAAAAGATTTTATTTATTTATGCATACAGAAATGGGGTACAGGGCAGAAGTGTAGGGGTGGAAAGAGGATTCACCAGAGACAGAGTGGGGAGCAGAAGAGGCAGATCCACGAAGTGCCCCCCTGCGCCACGTGCGTCACCTCCAGCGCAGGGACCAAACTCACACTGAAGCGGCCACGGTTTGGCTTAGCTTTGCAGTGCAGCACTTGAACCCACTGCGCCACCAGGGAGGGCTTGGAAGCTGCATTTTTAACCAGACCATCCCGTCCCCTTCATTCTGACATAGCACAAAGTTTGCAAATCGCTGTGCATGTCTAGCGATTAGGACCCCGATCTCTGGTTTACATCCCAACTTTGCCATTTACTTATTTCCTAACTGTGGGCAAGCGATTTTTATTTCTCTTTCTGAACCTCAATTTCCTAATCAGAAAACTGGGGACAACATTAGGTGTTGTCAAGGGTTCAGGGGGCTCATGCAAACCTCCTCCCACGTAGCCCTTGGCTCCTGCCGCTGCCAGCCTGTGCCCCGGGCTCCCTCTGGCCACTGGTCTTTGTCCAGGCTCCCCTCCTCTTTGAACATTCTCCGCCCCAGAGATGATCAGGGCTGATTCCTTCTTGTCATTTGGACAAGGGTCACGCAAATGTCACTTCCTTGGAGCGGCTGTCTCTTCACCGCCCTTGCTTCCATCTCACCCAGGGCTATTTTTTCCATAACCCTTACCACCAGCATTAAAATGACAAAGGTGTTCACTCGCCTGTTCCCTCACCACCGAGAAGATGTCAGCTCCGTGATGATAGGGATTTTGTCTTCTTTAGTCACTGCCTTGGTGCCTGGAATAGCGCCTGGCACAGATCACATGCTCAGCTACTGTCTGTAAATGAGCAGAAAGCCTGAGTGGGAGCCCTAGTAGACAGTAAGTGCTTAATAAATGCAAGTAAGCGATCCTGAGATTACACGAGTGACTGGCATGTGACGGTGTGGGGGGCTAGTGGTTACAAGCTGCAGCAATCCTGGGGTCTCCTGCCAACAAGTCAGATCTCTCTCCCTCCTCCCAGGCTGGATGGACAGACCGACCGAGGGCAGCCTCTGAATGGGAGCCCAAGACTGGAACATGTTTGTGTGATGTGCTTGGAAAGACTGCAGGCTGTGGCCTTAGGCAGGATGGCTAACCTCCTTGAACTTGTTTCCTTTTCTATAAAATAGAAAAACCACTGTTTACTCAGTGGTTAAGAGCTGGGGTCTTCATCAGTTTTCTTTTTTTAAAGATTTATTTATTTGTGCATACAGAACTGGGGTATAGGCCAGAAGCGCAGGGTGTAAGAGGATTCACCAGAGACAGAGTGGGGAGCAGAACAGGCAGACTGATGACGTACACTGCTGAGGGGAGCAATGGGGAGACAGGAGAGGTCTGCTGTCTCTCCCTGGCTGGGGATTGAACTCTTGCTGCAGTGGCTGCAGATAGCTTCATAGTGCTGCACTTTAACCCGTTGCACCACCAGGAAGGGCCTTTATCAGTTTTGATTGAGATCACAGTAAAAGCATTGAGTAGTCCCTTCCCTGTAATACGTTAGTTGGAAATGCTGATCTGGCTACTGTATCAATATAGTAAAAGGGATCTAGTGTTCTAAGAGTGTGGCATATACAGCCACCACATTGAGATCAAACGCCAGCTATGCTGCCTGCTGGCTGTGTGACCTTGTGTAAGCTGCTGCACCTCTCTGATCTCAGTTTCCTCAGCTTCACATGAGAGGGTGGCAAGGATTAAATGAGGTAATATACATGAAGTTCTTGCAATAGGACCCAGCACCTAGGAAATGCTTTTACTTTGGCATTTATAGTCTTGAAATCATTTCAAGCTTAGAGAAAAGCTTGCAAGGTTAGTTCAAAGCATTTCCCTGTGGCCTTCAGCCCTTTTCTCAGATGTTGAAGTTGCCACATCTGCTCTTTCCTTCCACTTCCCTCCACACCCCACATTTTTTCCCTGAACTGCTTGAAAGTAAGTTGTAGACATGGTACCTTTAAACATATCAGTGTTAACTATATATGTGTTTATATTTGTAAAGGTTTATTTATTTATGCATACAGAACTGGGCTACAGGCCAGAGGTGCAGAGGGGGTGAGAGGATTCATGAGAGACAGAGTGGGGAGCAGAACAGGCAGATTGATGAAGTACACTGCTGAGGGGAGCAGTGGGCAGGACAGAAGTCTGCTGTGCCATGTGGGTCAGCTCCCTGGCCAGGGATCGAACTAGTGCTGAAGTGGCTGTGGCCAGACTTGTACTGTGGTTTAATTTGTTATGCTACCAGGGAGGGCCCCAAACCCATCAGTGTATATTTCTTGTATGCAAGGGCAATCTCTTGCAAAGTCACAGTACCACATAGCTCTGTCCACAACAGCCCAGATACACACCCGTGGTCCCAAGGGGCTGCGCCATCCAGTCCAGGAGTGTCACCAGCCATGCTGTCTAGGTCTGTGTGAGCATACGCTGCAATGCTCACACAAAGCTGGAGTCCCCTAACAAGGCTGCATTTTGCTCTGATGCCACTGTCCAGTCCATGGCCAGTCCCTAGTCACCTCTGGCCAGTGGTCTCAGTTCTCTCCTTTAGGGGCTGTCCCTTTCGGCCAGCGTCCAGCCCAGGCACTAGCATTTCGGACAGGCGTTGTTAGAAAGTACTCTCTAGGGCCCTCCCTGGTGGCGCAGCGGGGTAAAGCACAGCACTGAGAAGCTAAAGCCACTTCAGCACGAGTTCGATCCCTGCCTGCCCCGGAGGTGACCACATGGCGCAGCAGACCTCTCCTGGCCCTCCCGCTGCTCCCC